GCGGATCAAGCCTTTGACCATCTAAAGGCAGGCATAGCAGAAGCCCCGACATGTCTACGGCTACCCAATCCTGGTGAGAGGTTCACTGTGGCTGTCGACGCAAGCAACGTGGCCATCGGTGCGGTTTTGTCTCAACCGGCTGGGGTGGTGGAGTACGCGAGCAGAGTGCTGACGGGGGCGGAACAGAAGTATTCAACAACGGAGAAAGAATGCTTGGCCATCGTGTGGGCGTTAGAGAAGTGGAGAAATTACTTACTGGCGAATGAATTCCGGGTCGTCACTGACCACAAACCGCTCTCGTGGTTGATGACGGCGAAAGACCCGCGGGGACGGCTTGCGCGATGGGCCTACCGACTGCAGGAATTCAACTTCACCATTGAGCACGTGGATGGAACACAGAATGTATTGCCAGATATGTTGTCACGCCCGTGTTTGGACGACATCATGCCAGACAATGCCATACCGGTGCGTGCGATCGCGATGGGGGAGAAGAACATGCTGGGAGATCAAAGGACAGATGAATTCGTGAAGGCGTTGTGCTCTCACTTACAGGCTGGCACCAAACCGGAGGCTACATCGGAGGAAGTGGAGGAACTCCTCAAGATCTGGGACAGGTTGAAGGTCGAAAACGATAACGTGGTGGTGGCGATAGACGGACGGAAAGTGCCTTTTGTTCCACCAAATCAGCGAGAACGGGTGATGCGCATAACTCATGATGGCGCCCATATGGGATTCGAGCGGGTCTTTGAATTGCTGCGGAGGCGAGTGTTTTGGCCAACTATGAGGAAGGACGTCGCGGCATACCTTCGGGAGTGCCCAAACTGCCAAACGAGTAAGGAGATGGAGTCCCCGAGACCGCCGATGCGATCGATGGAGGTTGGTGAGCCACTTCAGTGTTGGGGACTGGACGTCTTTGGGCCCTTACCAGTGAGTCGAACAGGAAACAGATACATTCTAGTGATGATTGACCAATTCACTCGATGGGTGGAAGCCATACCAATCAAGGACCAAACAGGCGAGACAGTGTCGCAAGTATTCGAATTCAATGTGCCTGCAAGGTATGGGATCCCACAGTGTATCATCACGGACCAAGGGCCCTGCTTCGAGTCAAGAGCGTTTAAGTCAGTGTTGGACAAGTGGGGCATCCAGAGACGGCGAACTTCACCGTACCACCCACAAACCAACGGGATGACCGAGCGGTTCAACCGGACATTGAAGACGTGGATAAACTGCACGAAGTTGGCATGGGAAGATGCTTTGCCTCAGGTTCTGATCGCGTATCGGACCAGCATGCAATCAACCACCAAGGTCTCGCCATTCGAATTACTGTTCGGCAGAGAACCACGGATTGCGCTCGATACTTGCCTACCGAACCAGAGTGAGTTGAAACATCCAGCTGAGCATCAAGAGCGACTGCGAGGGAAAGCTAGAAGCGAAACCGAAGCTCGACAAGCGCGGAATAAGCGGAATTACGACGCCAGGCATGAGGCTCACAAGTGGAGGCCATTCAGGATTGGAGAACGGGTCAAGTTACGGAACAACGATCGGCCGGATCATGACGGGCCGGGTGCAAGCAAGTTCAGAGAACGCTGGAAAGGCCCCTACACCATTATCGACCAGAAAGCGGGCAACTTCTTAATAGACTGCGGAGGAATGAAACGTTGGGTGAATGCTGCTCTCCTGCGACCATGGTACGAGAGGAAGAAAGGTCCTCGAGGAGGGGCGGGTGTAGAGGGGCCGCTTCCACGAATGCTTCGGGGGAGCTCTTCGGAGCTAGCTGAGAGCGGATCGAGAAGGACGGCTAGCGACGAGCCTGGGCCTGGAACTACGGAGCGGGAATATGTGGACAGCGCAATAAATCAGACAAATACGCCGCTAGCGCAGCCCACCGGACCGAGGCCGAGCCGATTGACACAGCCCAGAACAAGCAAGTCGAGAGCTCTCGAACGACTCCTGGCCGATCCAAATCGGGTGCAGAGAAGCGGAGATCGAGGCGAAAACAGGAAGGCGGATCTTCCAAGTCAGAGCTCCCGAGGCGAAAGGACTGGCTCGTCTCCAACATCCGTACCTGTGTTGCGTGGTGGGACGGAAATCTAGTCGATATTCGATGGCGCGCGCGAGACCCTAATGTGCCCATTTTCGGTGTGCAATAAACGTCTACCCCCTGTCTTGTCGTTCTCGCTACACTATTACTGCGTTACATGTTTGTGGTGATTTTGTGCGAATGCAGTCTGTTAAAAGAATGCGTCAAACCACACTGGATACGGTCTTCAAACGTTGAATGGAATTCGGTCATCCCTTTGTATAAGACTGTACTTCGCATGCTGAATATCTTGTAGGTCGTTACGAAGAATTTGTTTGTATATTTCTTTTTCAGTGAACTAAGTTCGTTATCATAGCAGTTCTTTTTTGTGTGTTTGCTATAAATATATGCCGCTAATACAGGTCATAATAGTAGTTTCCTATGTTATGTATAGCACGTCCCATCTTGTTACATCGGGTAACTTCGGTTAATCGGACCAGCCGCTTAATAGGACCAGAATGGTCTGGTCCCGATGTGGTCCGATTAACCGGAATCGACTGTATATATATATATATATATATATATATATATATATATATATATATATATACTGCGTTTGTTTTAGTTCTCTAACACAGTTACATTATGGGTACTAAATGACGTCAATCGACAAGGCGAAACACGTGGGTAGTGTGAATCATTGGGGGAACCAAATTTATTCTTGCCTAACTGTGAGATTTTAATACATTTGCTAAGCATATTTATAACATCTGCTGGTGGCTACGATGCCAAAATGTAATAGTGTAGAAACACTGTTGGAGGCAACCCAAAGATCATTTCTGTGGATGACTTTGAAAATACCGTGGATAGCTAAAATGAGCGAAGAAAACACCTTAGCAAAAGCCAATAAAGAAAATTACTGGAACTAAGAAAATGACAATGCTCACTTGGCACATATATATTACGGAAGAGTTGTAGCAAACGGACAGGAGAGAAACGCGGAAGAAAATACCGGACAGCTCAAGAAACCTTCACAGGAGAGTCAACATAAAAACTAATGAGGTATATCGGCTATTGCCAAACATGTTGCACAATGCGTGCTGATAAGTCAATTGATAATTATGAGTGTCAGAATAAGTGTACTTATGTACATATTATGTTAGATATACTCACCAGAAACCGAATCCCCACACGTATTATGTAAGTTAACAAAACGGCTCGCTAATTTGAAAACTTCAGCTGAACTGAATGTTAAGAAAACGTCATAACGTGTCCTAACTGTTTTGACTCAGAACTAACGAACGTTCTCCAGCGACATTATGCCAAGTGCACAGAGTAGCCACTCGAATTCGAAATGTTGCGGGTCAACGAAACCAAGGTACTAGACGTATACGCACAGCCTAACACTACCGCACTGATACGTGAACAAGGGCGTTTGATCGGCACATGAGTTGAACACAGTGGTAGTGTTCTGAGAAGTCAGTGTCCGTGCGGCGTTGTGCGGTAACTACCGCAGCGTTCTGACGAGAGTTCGCTTCATCTTGCATAATAGATGCATCAATGTCCTGAGTAAAGATCAGCTGGTTCACTGTGTCAGCTTCGGTCTGGCTTTCACACTGTAAACGGCCAATTGCGCATGCGTAATTCATCTCTCAGACCGGTAGTTACCAGAGTAGATTAGAGCACAAGGAGAAACTACCAGAAACTTGTTTTAAATGAATTCTGTTATTTGTGTTAGCATAACGCACTTTTCACGGCATGGCTCCCCTAAAAATTTTCTCATCCCAGGACCCCCGGGAATTCTCTGTGGCTCTCGTTCAAAATGGCTGTTCTAGGTCACCTGGCCTGAAGAAACTCTTATATCAAGAACAAAACGTAGCCGAATAAATAAAACAACTGAGTGTTCACAAACATCACTGAAACCATGACATTTCAATTCGTTCTATGAGTGTAAGTTCGTTAGTGTTCGCGAAGATGGTGGGAAATAAATCAGGGCGAGTGGAGCGCCAAAACAGCGTTTACCTGGCTTACTTACTACAACTCCCGACACCTCATGAAGTCTAAGTAATACCACATGTGCATTCCACCGTAATCGCGTTAAGGGTTCGGAGCAATCCTTCGTTAAAATCCTGTATTTCCACAGTTCACTGTCGATCAGCTAGATATACCATCCTAGCGCTAATCACTTGCGTCGTCCCTGGTAGTGGTTAAACTGGACAGTTGTTCGCACAGGTGCACAAACTGCGCTTTAATCACTATCCTGTCTGATACATTCGGTGGAATCGAGATACTGAACCCGTAATAACGCCTCAATTTAAAAGAGATACGAGATCGTACACTGACTCAATATGTAACTCTCAGGCTTTACCAGCACCTGGTGACTGAAACATTCCGGTAGCATGCAGCTCGTAATCTGCTCCTTTGCTATCGACCTCGTTAGTAGTAATAAAATGCGGAGGAAGCTGAAGCAGTTTGCACGACATACAGCCTTAAACAAGCCATTATCTGATGAATCCATCTTATTCGCTGAACAGATTCTCCGGTGTGGGATCATTGTAAGGAACTTAGTTAATCCACACAGTTTATGTACACAGCTGAGCGGAACATATTTTAATGTGGTTCTTTCTTGCTTTTTCACATTTGTGAGAGGAAGAACCTGCATGAAATACGCAATGAGTTCCGAGTTCGAATGGTGTTCATGTAGCTGTCTACTGAGATCCATTTAAGAAGCGGACTCTCAACCGACGACCATACAATGAAATCGGTATAACGGGGAAGAAAAACGCATAAACTGCATCCAATAACCGTAGAGGTTCTAGGACATCACTAACTTGTGCTTTCTTTGGAATCGTGGCAAAAACTAACGGTAATGATTTCAGGAAGGTTTGAAAACCACCGGTTATTTTCAAATCTTTCTGAAATCATGAGTTATCGATCGGTTCCAGGTATTTTCCAGGATGTTGAGTAACAGGAATGAGTTGAAGAAAAATAATGACTGTCGCACGACGAGCGATCTGACACTAAGTGTGCTTCAGAATGGAGATCGCGGTTTCTTTGTTTGCGCGGGTGATGGAACCAGGAGTTTTACCTCCATATAAAGAGAAGAGCGGTAAAGAACTAAAAGCGAAATAAAGATATATGACGACGGGATCTCCCGGCAGTATGGCTAATATGCCCACTGTGAGAGAACGGTTTCATCGGAATGCCCATGTGTTTAGCTTCTGATAGACGATGGTGGGTAGCACATCAAGCAAGAGAGTATGACTTGCAGTTTCATTGGTATCCACTTGAAGTGGTTGTAGAAATGTAACATGAAGATTGAAGCAGGAAACATCCCCTTGAAAGCTGGCATGTGCAAGAATATGAGATACATCATTCAGCATAGATGTGCGGTCACCGGATGCAGCTAGCTCAACTGATGACCGGATCAATATCCAATACCAACTTAAGTTCGCCAACCGTGGTAATAAAGAGAAGATACAAACAAGTAACACCAGTAGTGTGAAATATAATAATAATTTCTGATTAAGAAGTGACGGAAACGCTTTACCTCGTCATCTTTACGACGTTTCAATCTCGATCAACGGTTAACCGGAGAATCAACATGAGGATAAGGGCTTCGTATGTATTAGAGCACCAGGAACGGAAAGAGACAACCTTAGTGCAGTCCGCAGAAATAGAGAAGATATAGATGAAGTAGTCTCCCATGATTTATTGTCTGTGGACACTAAAGCAAACTCCCTGTGAAGCAGAAAGCAAGCTCGAGACAGATAAGAACATGCAGCAGGCCTCAAGATTCGGCTTTGGAATGAACAAGTGCGTTAGTCTAAGAACACACTACGACATGATCATCCACTCGAATGCAGGTTTTGTTTTCATCCGTTTGTACAACGATACATTCTGGGACCCACGTGTCTGAAGTAGTCCAACATGAAGAAGAGCAGGAAAATACTAACACGGTCGTTATCTGCAGTAACCAGGACGGATCAACATCTTCACCAACCAAGTCCACATTGGCCGTTAAAACCGAGGAATGAAGTTTATCGACATCGAGTTTCAAACAATTGTTGATAGCGGAGAAAATTTGAAATTCAAATACCCGATGGGAACCACAGCGAGAACAAGTAAGGTGGCGTAGGAGTTCTTTCGGAGGTGACCCATTAAAAATAGGTACTCCACGCCAAGAGTAACGGATATCTTCGCAACCATACTCCCCTCTGCTGGCTAAGTGATCAAACATGGCGCCAGAAAAACCCTCAGCTGGGGCATTATCATCTTCCTCCACAAATGCGAGTTCGACGTTAGCCGTTTCGAACCATTCTGCAAAGTTGGGGGACTCAACAGAAGATGGAGCAGGCGAAGAGTCAGTTGCACGTAAGATGTCAGTCTCGTTTGAGTTTCCAATGTTTTGTTCTTCATAAACATTAATGAAACGACCAGCGAACGGTCCAGTGAGTTGTGGAAGATCGCTCGACGTACACTTTATAGAAACAGAGTATAAAAAGCATGGATAAAGGAGGAATAAATGAGCAGCGGTGGACAGGGCAGCAAAAACAGAGGCATCGAACCGGATGATTTGAAAATCGCTGCAACGGCTTAACTGCATTGCTCAGTAGGACACAAATTAAAGAAGTAAACACGTATATGGCAATACGAATATATAAACACGATAGGAAGCCTGACGAACAATGAACAATGATTTATCACGGGATAAAAGCAAGTGCTTGACACGTCCCGTAGGATGGTTGGGGTGAATATGATGAAATCAAAATAAATCTGGGTCACCTACTAAACGTCTGTCTAGATGAATACTTTGATAAATTACATCAGTGTAAAATTAAAAATAATCGAGCGTAAACGTTCAGAAAGACACTGGGGTGCAGTGGTCGTTGATATAAGGCGTGAGAAAAGTAAAATATGGTCGCACGCTTGGGTCCATTTGATATATAAATCCTGTAGAAAAGCATGCTTGGCATAATCCATAATATAGGAGTTTAGGTAACAAAATGCTGGGAGCTAAGAGCAACATCTAGTCGTTTTTTGGAAACGTCCAAGATAGGAGAGGATACAACTGGGTCTGGGAGTGCGTTCCAGGGTTGGCAAACCCGAAGGGAAAAGTAATTCCGTCGACATTCTAGACGGCAATATTGCTCCTTCAATTTTAAGCAGTTACCCCTAAACTGCGTGTTGTGGCTAAGTTTCAGCAAATGGCGGCATACGTAGTTGGGGTCACTCGGTATCTGATACGCTAATATGAGAACGCCGCGCAGCCTTCGATAGCGCCTGCTGAAAATTCCTAGCAACTTCAGTCTTCGGTGGTAAGAGTGATAGCGCAGGACATATACATTCTTTGTTGCGCTTCGCTGTGGTGCTACTAACGCTTCTAGGTCGCGCAACAACCAACGTGGCAAAGATTGGGTAGCGTATTCAACGTGCAGGCGTACGTAAGAATTGTGCATCATTGTGAAGACTGATGGGTCAAATCTCCCGAATGCCCTTCGCAGCATACTGACATGTTGGTTGCATATTTTCGCACATACCTCAGCTTGTTTTGAACAGTTGAGGTCGCTCTGCAAGAGCACATCAAGGTCACGACCTTGGGAGCTAGTCTGCAATAAGCATGTCACAAGCAAATAGGTGTAATAATGTGCCTCGACGGGGAATCGAACCCCGGTCCACGAATTTCCGGTCCGCTGCTCTACCACTGAGCTACCGTGGGCTGACGATTAGGTGCGTAAACTTTAATACATGACTTCTGCTTGGCGCGCGACGTATTGCCAATGAGGTCACAGTACCTGTCCTGATGTTGCACATTGGCTCACTCATCCGTCACTTCCCAATGGACCGAAGTACCTGTTTTTCAAATGTCCAATGGGTGATGGTAGATTAATTTTTGGATGTTCGTAAGTAGTGAAAAGTTTGTAGAAAGTAGTGGCGGGTGAGTGAGCCAATGTGCAACATCAGAACAGGTACTGTGACCTCATTGGCAATACGTCGCGCGCCAAGCAGAAGTCATGTATAAAAGTTTGCGCACCTAATCGTCAGCCCTCGGTAGCTCAGTGGTAGAGCAGCGGACCGGAAATTCGTGGACCGGGGTTCGATTCCCCGTCGAGGCACAATATTGTGCGTGAATTTTAATCGTGACTTCTACTTTCTACAAACTTTACACTACTCACGAACATCCAAAAATTAATCTACCATCGCCCATTGGACATTTGAAAAACAGGTACTTCGGTCCATTGGGAAGTGACGGGTGAGTGAGCCAATGTGCAACATCAGAACAGGTACTGTGACCTCATTGGCAATACGTCGCGCATCAAGCAGAAGTCATGTAATAAAATTTGCGCACCTAATCGTCAGCCCACGGTAGCTCAGTGGTAGAGCAGCGGACTGGAAATTCGTGGACCGGGGTTCGAATCTCCGTCGAGGCACATTACTGTGCGTGAATTTTAATCGTGACTTCTACTTTCTACAAACTTTACACTACTCACGAACATCGAAAAATCAAATAAGTATAGTTATGTCTATGGCGTAACTGTACAACGCGACATTTGTCTGCGTTGAATGGCAGGGCGTTTGAAACTGACCAGTTCCACACTTTAGGATCGCATTGGAGCCGTTCGTGGTCGTCCGGTCCTCTGATCCTTCGCCATATCTTGATATCATCAGCGAAAGATAGGAAATCGGAAGCAATTGATCTCGCTAAATCGTTAATAAACACCAAGAATAAACGAGGTCCAAGAACCGAGTCTTTGGTATTCCACACACCACATCCATTGCATCAGAGAATGATTCTCGGACTCTCACCACTAGCCATCGCTCGTGTAGACAGGGGCTAACCCAACTCAGAATCGGGTCGCCAGCACCGTAGTTCCGAACCTTCTGAAGATGAATTCGATGGTCTAAGCAAGCAAACGCCTTTGAAAAGTCCAGGTAGGTGACAATGACTCCTGCTCCATCAACAACAGCTTCAGTCCAGCTATTACCTGCAATTAATAGGTTAGTATTATACGAATGCTTTTGACGAAAGCCTTGTTGCACTGTGGACTATTAAGTTGTGGCCTTCCAGATACTGCGTCAGCGAATCTGCGATGATTGATTCCATCACTTTGGATAGCACAGGAAGTAGTGTTATTGGACGGTGGTTGACAGGTTCAGTGCGGAGTGATGACCCCTCGCTTCCTTACTGGTGGAAATGGTTCTCTTCTAGACATCGCTGATAGTAAACAGCCAGTGGTTCTGCTAGATCAATAGCTATCGCTTGCAGAGTCTTTGGTCGGATGTTGTCGACTCCAGGAGAACTGTGGATACGCAAGGATAATAACTTCTTCAACACAGCTTCCGCAGTGAAGGTGATGTTGTCTAAACCCGACGGTGGGGTAATATAAATGAGGAGAATGTTTGGGATCGTTACCTGCTGGAAAGTTTGGGAGTAATGAAGCCGTAGCAGATCAGCTGCTTCCATTGCTGATCACGTGCACCCATCAGCCATGACTAGTGCTGGAATCCCCCGCTTCACCTTTCGAAGACCATTAACGTGCCTGTACAGAAGTTTGCCTTTCGTGCAGAATCGCTTCATTAACACCTGATGATGTGTGACCTTGTCTTCGCGGATCAGTTTCACACAGAAGTTACGATGTGTCACGTATGCAGTCCAGATTTCGGCATTCGAGCAGTCCTGGTGATCTCGCCATGCCAAATCCCTCCGGGACATACATTTACGTGTTCTGCTCCTCAGAAAGGACTTATGCTTGTTTTTGGCTTGGAAGGACTACTGTTCCGATGCTTGCGCAACCAGTGGGCTAAACGTCCTTGTAAAGGTTTCTCAGGCAACATCTGGGGGGAATTCGGTTAAGAAAGTTCAAGATGTATGCTTAACAAGTGTAGATAACGCATTGTAGTGCGTGACAGTATGCACTTTATCATCCTTCTTTTCAGGGTACTCCGCATAGCATATACAGTCAAAGAGTAGAGTAACATGATCACTACGACCCAGTGGTGTGCTTGTAACTATCCCGTTAAACATGAGTTCTTCGTTAGTTAGCACAAGGTCCAGTATCGACGGCTTTTTTGCAGTTCGAAATCTGGTGGGAGAGGTTACGTGGTTGTACAGAGGGTGGCTATCAATTAGCTCTTGCAAGCAGGCTCTAAACTGCGTACCATCAATTGCCAGCGTTTCTATGTCGTGCACGTTAAAGTCTCCAGCGATAAAAATGTGGGTGTAGGACTTGTTCAAAGCAAACTGAAAAGCATGGTTCAGTTTGGCGTCCATTTCCGACGTTGAGTTTGGTGGGCGGTAAATCACGGCTAGTAAACATGTGTCCCTGTTTCGCAACCATAGGCGGCACCAAAGCGAATCAGGAACTCGGATTTCCGGGTGATCGACAACTTCACGTCGGAGGTTTGTATTATGGTAAAGAATCACACCGCCATCCCTTCCGGTTCTATGGGTCTGAAGCATCAACATAGCGGGTAAATTGATCTCAGAATCGGTTATCTCAGGGTTTAACCATGTCTCTGTAATCATGACGTGGTCCCGCGGTTGTGAGGCATGGAGTTCTCTAAGTTCGGCCAACTTGCTTAGAAGGCCCTGGGCGTGTGTGTACATGCAAGATAGAGCTTTTGTTGTTAGGAGTGCGTTGATGGATGTGAGCTTTGTATTAGTTTTTAAGCCGGCTGTTAGGTGGCCGGCCATTAATCGTCTTTGGTTTATGAATTTCAGTCAAGTTGCATGCCATTATTGAGCGTTGCTGAACGGACGTTTCACTCGTGTTGTGCTCTGTCCTGTTGTGTGCCGTGGGCGCTGTTGTGTCCGTCTCTTCGCAGGACTGTGCAGATAAAGAATTTTCAGCGTTTGCAAGTTCCATCGAATTGCTTCCAACCTTTGGCCGTTCGTTTGTTGCCTTTAGCCGGATCTCTGTTGGCAACCTAGGTCGAAACTTTAACCAGCTATCCAGCAGAAGTTCCATCATTCCCTCTGAGTGTAATATTATTTTCATTAGTCTTGGACCGCAGCCCTTGTAGTTAGGTGATGACTGAACTCTTGTCAGGGATTTGGAAATAACATTGTCAACAGAGAGTGCGTCGCGGATGTAGCACCACTGCTCTCTTTCATGTGTTTGCGCATCGTGATCAGAAGAATGTAGAAGCTCGTGAACACCATGAACAAATATTGTTTTCTTACTATCCCTATTAGGAATACCGCGTTGGTCAACTGCTTCTTTTGGGCGATCTTTCCAAGGTAGATCAGGGAATATGCGCACACCGCTCGGTGAGTTGCGAAGACGAACTGCTGAGTGCAGGACAGCCTCTGTCTCATCTGCTGAGTCCAGTATTACTCGAAGAATTCGAGGTTCACCAGAGTGTACTGATGTAGGGTGACGCGCTACGCGTTGCAGCATAGCAGCCTCAACCCGAATACCAATCGCATCGCAGATGGAACTCCTCTGGTTGCGATTGTCTTGCAACTTGCCTTTTGTT